CGATATAGGATTTTGTGGGACCCTTGCCACGTATTCGAAGATAGGTGTTCACTGGACCGCAGAAGTCGACTCCAACGTGGCGAAATGGCTTGTCTGTGGATAAGCGCTCAGGTGGCAGGGAACCCATGACTTGACGAAGTAGAACTGGACGATATCTGACACAGTGTACACAAGAACGAACAATGCTGCGTGCTAAAGCTCTTGCGTTTATGACCCAGAATTGAAGCCGCAGCAGTCCAACTAATGCCTTTGGTCCTGCATGGTAATTGCGCAAGTGAAGATGCCGAACATAATTGTGGACAAATTGCGATTCCTTGGGAACAAGTAAAGGATGCCTTTGACGAGAGGGGATATCAGCATGCTCGAGTCTGCCGCCAACCTTAATGAGCTCGTATCCAGAAGAGTCATCTATGAAGGGGCTGAGAAATTTCAGATTGCTTTTCAAATCTCTTTGTTTCCTTAGCAATTGCAAATCTTCCTTGAAATAGTGCTGTTGGATGATCCTGATGATGCAGTGCAACGCGTGGCGAAGTTCTTCTGGGCATGGCGGCGAACTTTCGACAGGGTGTTCCTTTTTGGCAATTTGGTAAAACCGGAACATATATGCCATAACTCGAAGCTCCCGAATGTATGAGCTAGTTCCGTTCAGCCAGTCCAGAATAGAATTACTTTCGATAATTGCAGCAAATGTAGGCTTCCGTTTTTCAGCATCGATAATGTCCATGTCCAAATCATTGTCGAATTGTTGGCAGGGCCATTGAGTCTCGGAATCACGCTGAAACGCAGGTCCTGTAAATCAAATTGACTGCTGGAGCTCATGAGCTGGGCATCCACGGGACACGATGTCAGCAGGGTTCAATTTTGACGGTACATGTCTCCACTTTCCATCTGCTGTTTGATCTTGTATAATGGATACTCTATTTCCAACAAATGTCGACAAGGTGATAAGAGTGTTGTTGCAGCCAGTGCAAGACAATCTGCGAATCAGACCAGAAATGCGCGCTGTGCGGCTTGCCGATGAATATGTTTTTGACAGTTGTATATAACTTACTCAGAAGTTGAGCTCCGCTTAACTCTAATCGAGGAAGCGTCAGCTTCTTGACAGGAGCTACCCGAGATTTAGCAGGCAGAAGCTTAACCTGGACATTGCCATACGAGTCCGTGGAACGCACATAAACGCAACAGCCGTAAGCACGTATTGATGCGTCACAGAAAGCGTGCAGTTGTATGTCTGTGAGCTCAGCTTGCAAGCAAAAACGGGGTACTGAAATCGACGACAATTCCTTGAGAGACGTTACGCAGTTTCTCCATGCTTGTAAAAGTGATTGCGGAACAGATTCATCCCAGGCGAGTTTTAGCAGCCATAGCTCCTGTATGATGATTTTCGAGACGATGATGATTGGTGCCAGCAATCCTAATGAATCGAACAGAGAAGACGCAGTCGAGAAAATAGTCCTCTTTGTGACTGTTGAATACAATTTTTTGGGTTTAAATTCAAATAGTAGCACATCACGACGTTGATCCCAAGCTACGCCAAGTGCGCTAGTCACAGCGTTTTCATCCAAGTTTAAATCCTTTACCGATTCGTCATCCCTGACGGCGTTATGATTGGAGTGCCACTGAACCAGTGGGAAGGGTCCTCGGCGAAGTATCTCGGTGACCTCGTGTTTGATGTTCTGCAACTCGATGAGCTCGTTTGCTCCGCATAGCAGATCATCAACATAAAACGATGATTTTACAATGGATGCGTCAATGGGAAACTCGTTCACATGCAGATCTGCCAGATATTGCAAACTGCGAACTGCTCTCCAAAATATATATTGAAATTTCCGAGCCACTGGGCTGACTAAAACTTGTCTATACATTTTCGTAATGTCCGCTGTGATGGCGTAACGAACCAATCGAAAACGAAGGAGAAGTATATACAGATCTTCTTGAAGTGTTGTGTTTAAAAACACAATGGTGATTGATTCGTCACTAAAGTCATATGGCCCAGATCCTCATATTCTTTCATAAAAGTTACATATTGCGATTGAACAGTAGGCTGCTGACTGAGGCGCCTCTCGAGCGATAAAAAACGACGACGTGCAACATCGCTTGAATTGCCAAGGCACATTGGATCTCCCTTGAAAGGTAGACGCACAACAATCCTGCCGTTATTCATCTGTGTTGTCCTTGAATACATATCTTCACAGAGCCGATGTTCTGGATTGATTGACTTTGGATAATTTTCTAGAGCATCAATGCTCCACAGTCATTGAAGATTTTTGTCAATTGACTCCTCCACAGAAAGCAAGCACGTTGATGACTGCTTAGCTGACTGATGACGATACTTGCCAGACACAACCCATCCAAGCAACGTTTTCTGAAGGACTGGCAAATTGTCTCCGAGCTTAATCTGTCCAACAGCCAGGCATTCGAAAAATGCTTTGGTACCGAGAAGGAGATCAATCCGACCTGACCTGTGGAAAGTTTCGTCCGCAAGTGGTGTATTCGCGGGCAACCTCCAATCTGAGGTGTCGATTTCCGAATCCGGCTGGTAGGCAATGTGAGACGTTATGCAGAACTGTACTTCAAATGGTGACAAACGAGATTTAATTCCAGTAGTTGTACAGTTGTTAATTTTAGTCGAGGTCTTCCCTAAGCTGCGGATTTCGAAATGATGCTTCTCACGGCGTAGATGCAGCCGTTGGGCGAATTGATCAGTTATGAAATTGACTTGGGAACATGAGTCAAGCAATGCTCTGCCTTGTTTATACGCCCCTGATGAATCTCGCACTAGTACCTTTGCAGTAGCAAGAATTATTTGTCCGCCTGGCGATTGATTCATATGCGAGTGCGTTGCAGCAGGAGTCGTTGTTGAGGACATTTCCGCTATGGATGATGGCGATGTGGACGATGATGATAAAGGCGGTTGGCCAAAATGCAGAAGCGTGTGATGGCGATGCTTGCAGCTTCGACAACGATTGTTAGAAGAACACTTAGCCATCCGATGTCCTAATTGAAGGCAATTAATGCAAAGTCCAGCATTTTTTACGACTCCGTACTTGAGTTTAGGACTCATGTCTTGAAACTGAGAACATTGTACAATTTTATGGTCGGAGCTGGAACAAACAATGCATGTTGGGTTAGTAATAGCAAATGATAATCCCTTGCTAGGCTTGTACACGTGTTTTTGTTTCGAAGAATCAGCCATTCGATACGATGCAATGCCTCTTGATTGCAGAAACTGACAATGACGTTCCAAAATAGTTGTGCAGTGAGCCCAATTTGGCAATGTACGTAAGTCAAAAGACTCATTCCACTTGTTACGGGTTTGCTGGTCACATTTTCCGATGACGATGAATATCAACATGGCTTGGGCAATATCTGATCCGGTACCCAATGACGATAATGATGAATACAGGGCTGACGCATTGTCCAGCAGACTGCGAAGCTGATTTCCGTCCGGTGTGTCGACTGGCTGTAGATTGAATAGTGATTCTATTTTGTCTAAAAATGTAAGTGTAGGATTGTCATAACGTTCACTTAAACGAGCAAGAGCCTTGGGATAATTTTCCTGAGTCACTTGGAATGCCTTTACTGCCTGTAGGGCAGGGCCCTTCAAGCAATTCAGCAGATGATTAAACTTTTCAATGTTTGAAAGAGAGTACTCACGACCGATAATCTGATTGAATGATGTAATGAAGTTTTTAAACTCTGCTCGTTTCCCATCAAATACAGGCGGAGCCAATCGAGGAAGACTCGATGGCGGCGAAGAGCGAATTGGAGCAGGGTTAGAAAATGAGGTGCTGTGCAGTACATCATCCAGTTGGGATTGGATGGACAATTTGATACTCACATATGTGTCTTCCACCTCTGCACGTCCATTGTCCTGAGGATCTTCCAATTCAATTTCAGATTGTACTTCCAAAACCTCCTTAATGTATATCTCCAACATGTCCAAGCGTAATTGTAGCTCACCGTGTGATAATCTTTTTTCACTGCCATCGACCTCAGTAGACACTCTTACAACATCCTCTAAGTGTGCGATATTGCGTTTTATGTTCGCTCGCTTACGTAAGTTTGCTTCAAGAGTTGACATTATGTATCGAGAATGTTGTGATCACCGATGTTACCGAGCGACAGTTTTGATACTGCTAAATTTTCACAGTCTAACTTTAACCTGATAATGTCACTCTCACCGATGTGAGCGAGCGACAGTTCAAATGCTCCCACTGTTAACAGAACAGCTAAGACTTGTAAATGTTCCACTCACCGATGTGAGGGTCGCTTGCAGTGCTGAAGCAAAATGCAGTGAACAAGCAGAGGCAGCGAGCTTCCAGCGACGAAGCAACGGTAACAAGAATGCAGCAGCAAAGCGAAGGTAGCGAGTTTCCAGCGACGAAGCAACGGCAACGAGAAAGGAGCTGGGAAGCAAAGGCAATGAGCAATCAAACTCAGAGCGTATCCAGCGCGAAGTAACGGCTACAAGAATGCAGTAGCAAAGCGAAGATAGCGAGTTTCCAGCGACGAAGCAACGGCAACGAGAAAGAAGAGCTGGCCAAATGTTGCTGTCGATGCTGTATTTTGCGAAGAGTTCGATAAAACCTTTCTCCAACGAAATGTTGTGCGGCAACGATATGCCGTCAATTTCCACACACTAGCCCCAATGTTGGGCGCCAAAATGTTGGATCAAAAGCGTTTTTTTATCTTTAAAGAATCTTATCTCAAGTGGGCGTGTATGGATGGTATGAAGTTTTAATAAAAGTTTTACAAATTGATGAGCAACACGACTGACTTCTATGATGATGCTTACAGAACTGATTTCTTAACATAAATTAAGATTAAAGGGACCGAGCAATTACAGAGTTCGAAAGAGAGCGAGACTTCGTACATGTGTATGACTGCTTATGACATTCAAATAGGAGAGAATTAGCATAATCTTAACATAATCTGCTTTGACATTGCTATTGATACCCTGACTAATGTATATATGAGGTATATGACCGAACACCAACCTCAGTACACAACATACATTCATATGTGAATATAAATTTGGGATAGGTCATGGTCAGCGCTAGAAAACTAAAAGAGTGACCCCATGATCCTCTGGGACATCGCTGACGCCAAGATAAGCCTGACGATCACCACGAGTAAGAAAGCGAACGATTGTTTGACTACACAAAAAAAAACGAATTTAATTATTTTCATTAATTCATTAATTTACTTACCTAACCGGACCCGCCGTCACGATCAACCGCACAACACGTAATCAAGGCCAGCGAAACTACTAAAACTTACTAACAAAAAAGGCGACGTCAATCGGTGGCTTCCTTTATGTTGCTATGGCGCTCGTACCCATCCTGTGGTGCGAATAATTTTTTAGTCGTTTCATTACCCCTTTTCAGTTCGACATTTAACCTAACCCAAAACTAACTTAAAAGTTCTGTGTTAATCTGTAGTAAGAACATTTGAAATATTAATCAGTTCGATATCAAGAATTTCAAGGAATACCTGATAGAGTTGAGAGCCACGCTAGGTATGATCCGGCGCCGAACTTACATCGGATATACGAAAACGCCACCCCTGAATACAGGACTTGCGTGCGCAAACAAGCCTTCTTTTTTTTTTTTGCTTCTTATTATTTTGGGTTATTTTTGCGCTGGAATCGATCAGTGCCTTCTGATCTCTACCAAGCGGAGTTAAAGGTATAGTGTATTGTTATTATTTAATAACTTAAATGATAATTACAGACTTAAAAATATATAACAATAATGGGAAAGGGATGTTTAAGTGATGCGCCTCGTTGGTAGGTCCGTCGGGGTGTAGCCTTCGGAGGCGCCTCTCACTGATGGGCTCAGCCAGGGCCCTTGCGGCCGCGTTCGGATGCTGCACCAATTTGTCGGAGTATCGGCTGCTGAAGAAGTTGAGCTGATCTCCGACCTTTGTTAGGCGGAGATCGCGTTCGATGGCGTCTGTTGTTACGTACCATGGCAGGCCAGCAACCTTGCGTGCTGCCTTGGCTGAAACAAGTCTTCTGAATGTTATCCTAGCTAACTATCCTAGCTGACTGTGGAAAACTGCGGGAGCAATGCACTTGGGTAGGTAGCGCTAAGTCCGGTTATGGTAGATCCTGGTAAGATTTCACAGACGTTGGGGGAACATAAAAACCCGTTCCGACCTCTGCTCAATGTACCACAAGCGATAGTTGCGGGTGGAAGGGTCCCAGCCCTGCCCTGATGAGCCAAGACGGCGGAATGGGGCTAGATCCACGACGGGCATAAAAACTGGGGTGTGCAGAAGGGACAGTTCGCCAGGGTATGTACCAACGCGTATTGTATTCTGTTGGATATACGGGCACCGGCTCAGCCATGCTTGTTGCCGGCACTCAGGAGCGGGAAACAGGCGGTGGCGTCGACACATCCGCGGAGGAAAAGAAGACCTTGTGGTTAGAGGACGGTCTACCTGGGAAGGTAATCATCATACCGATGCTTATCATGCCCTCCATGGTGGGATCCTAGGCATGGATTTTCATTGTGCAATGGGCATTGCGGCATTGAAGAACTGATCATTGCGACGGTGTTGGCACTGGCTGGGTCCAGCCTCGGACGAAAGTCGATAGAAGGCCTCTCACTTCTGGGAGTGCCTGCTCGGCAACGAAATTTCCTGGACAGGGACAAGAAAGCAGAGGCAAGGCATTGCTGGTCTGCCTTGGACACGTGATGAGACAGGAGGGAACACGGACCTATCCAGAGAGAGTGGAGCCGATCCGTAACCTTAAGGTAATTGCAAGGAGTTGCGACAGTGTCTCGGGATGACATCGTGGTACAGGTGTTTCGTGCCCACTTTCGCAGCCCAGATACATCGGTTGACGGCGCTCCTGGAGAAGGGTAGGAAATGGTCGTGAGGTGGGGATCAGAGGGAGGCATTTGGTCTGTTGGAAAAGAGGCCAACGACTGCTCCTACTTTAACTTGTCTCGACTTTTCCTTCAGGCTCGTTTTTAATGCTGACGCGAATAGCCTCGATTCAGGGCTGTCGCAGACAATAGAAGGGAAGAACGGATATAAGCTTGTGCTAGTCGAGAGCTCTTGAAGTCCAAGGTTAGCTATTCCACCATGGAGAAGAAGTGCGATCGTGTGGTCAATCAGCAAGCTGCGAATCGCACGATTGGAACTGAAACTTCATGCATGCATTATCAAGGATTCCGGCAGAGACCTGACAGCAACCAGTGGTGGCTGATGCTTCCTGAAACTGGCTCCTGGGAATACTCTTTATGAGTGCCGAGAAGTTCTTCAACAATGTCTAGGAGAACCTTGGATGTAGAAGTCCAGTATATTGCTCTATACTTTCACCAAGAAAATCCAACTGAAAGGACCAACAGGGAAGTGAAGACGATGATACCACAATTTATCGTGGGTCAACGGCAGATATCGCTTGCGGTCAATCCCAAAGAGATAGACTCGGGAGGTTTTAGTCTGGCATTTTCCATGCAGGGTAGAGAACTACGGAGACAAGAATGGTCGCCTTCGTTGGAAAAACCGGCAGTATCAACCTTCCAACGCCGCTAAGGGCCTTTTCACCAAGCTGGCCCCGCTCGGGTCGTCAAATTTGTATTCTCCAACAACGTGTGTCTCGCGAAACCGATCCAACGCAAGAAAGGGGTGGCCAATATTTCTCAATTGAAACCGCTGTTTCAGGGGACAGTCTGCGAGAATATGCAGAGGCGAGTAGTATGCGGTGTTAGTTAAGTAATGGTTAAGTTTATAAATAAATTAATTTTTCAGAAGGAGTAAGAGGTTCTATCTATCTCAGCCGACGAGGGGGCCTACGACGACGACAGCGATGGCACGGAGCTGTTTCCCGGACCTGGTGCCGGAGGCCTTCAGCAAGACGGCTGCACGAGAAAAACCCATCATCCCTTAAATGCACACATGCCAACTTTTAGGTACCCTTACCAACAACAACGAGCTAAAATGCAAGAATTTTGCATTGATTTGGCAAGCCCTTTCATTATTTCATTATCAATAAGGTAGTGGTAGACAAAAACAAGATTAAGTGTTCTATTCAAATGATAAGAAATTGATTCGAAACAACGAAGGTCTTATTCTTATAAAGAATAGTGACGTAATCTGAAGACAAATTTAGTTTTTTATGGCTGTACAGTAGGTGAATGCCACCACAAATGATAAGAAACGAATCATGAAAAACATTAGTTATTAAAAATGATATTTTACGAAGAGTGGAGAAATTGAATTTACTGATAGATACGCCAGCAAAAAAATTTGCTAGCAAAATAATCGGTTATTGAAATGCAAGTAGTGTCATAACAATGCAGCGTAATTGCTGTTTACAATATGGTCTGGATTGAGCGCTCGTCTACCTCTGCGATGGAGGTCCAAATTAATATTTGCTAAGAAGCTTAAGCATCATTGGCTAAGAAGCTCAACCATCATTTCCAAATATTATATATACATATATGTTTTAAATTATTTATACCTTTGCAAAATGATGATTTCAGCTTCCTAGCTCTATATTAGTTATAAGTCGCTATAAGCCGATCAGTTTTAAATTTAGTTTACACTTAAAGAAGTCATTAATAATATGTTGTCATATAATTTGCTTTTGGTGTTTATACTTTGTCGTGGTTGATTGTTATGACTTGTCAGCTTAAAACTTATTGAATTTCAGCAAAAAAATGTTCAACAGTCTCCAATGAAAACCCAAAAGTTTAAAATCAGAAATATTAGTTTTTAATTTAGTTAACAAAATTGTAATATTACAATTTTAAACATTAATAAAATTACGATTCATGTGAACTGTTGAATGTACCCCCACACCAGAAACATAAAAATATGAGCACAACTTATTATAGAAATTATTAATGGCCAAATGTCCGGATACATAGACGGCGGTTCTATTATTAAAGAAGCAAATAAAATGGATATCATTAAAATTTCGGATATTTTTATAATTGATCCTTTCATATTTTTTCGAAGCATAATATTCTGGTGAGTTCCAAAATAGCTACACATGAAAGTCAAATGAAAAATAATCATTAATGCTAATGTTGGAACAATCAAATTATCTTTTTTCAAAAGTGGTGTCATACTAAAAACTGACACCTTTAGAAACCAAAGCATTTCCTTGGGCCACCAGGTAAACAAGAAAATCGATGGCAATGAAATAAGCAAAATGGACTTCTCGTGGACCTGAAAAAGAAGTTTTAGGCGCCTTGGTTTGAAATTTAATATGTATAATACATACTTGAAACGAAAACAGGAAGAATGCTGCGGCCGTATTAAATAGAGTTAATATGAAAGTGTATTTACTTCGTCTGCAAAAAAGTTGCACATTAGTTGGTAGGACTGCCAATAATGTTGTTCCTATGCAAATTAAAGCCATCTCGTGATTCAAAATGTGTTTTCTGAAACAGTACATAATATATTAATAAATAGTACTATTCAATTTACAATGTTTTAATCTCACTTCAATTTATAAACAACATTAATACTGCACCAAACATTTGCAACTTTGTCTTCAAATACGCCTCGTCCGAGAGGAAAAAGGCGGTTCAATACTTGTGCAGTTGCGTCAATTGAAGTTAACCAAGGATACCATAAGATCGCAAAAGTTGCTAGCACCGTAGTCGCAATCATTAAAAGCTTTTTTACAAACAATTGTAAGCTGTTAAAAGATAATATTTATAAATATTTAACATTTGATTAGGCTTAATTCTGAAAATAATATATAAAAGGTTATATGTATATCAGTGTTAAATATTATTAAAAGGTTTTGTATATCAATTTCCAAACGACAAAATATAACTTCGTAAAAAGGGTGTTACATAACTAAAGCAAATGCAAACGTTGCATTCCGACTGCACAATATTAGTCAATTTAATTATTAAGATGTGAAAAGTCCATACATTTAAACGTGACACAACATTTTTAGCATGGCTTTTCGCTTTTGAAACGCCAAGCCAATTGATTATGTTTGCAGAAGCCAAACGTACGAAAGCCATAGTCCTGACTTGCTAATGCTGAGTCAGTGGTAAAGGGTTTTTTTTGCTGATTTCATATTAATAAATAGACTATCCAAATTTTATTCGCAATGAGCGAAGTTGGCATCATAATTATTTATTTATAAAATTGAAACAAATTCTTTAAAAGAAAGTTAACAAATGTAAGGTAATTGTTACATTTTTTCGAAAAAAAATTTCAAGTTAATTTATACCTACGAATTTGAAAACACTATACAGAAATTAGAGGTATGTGCTGAGCAAACAGTCTCACAATAGACTTTAAGGTTTTTGTTTAAAGTAGTGAATCTGCCATTTCGACTATCTGACTATGGAATCGAACTATTATGTTAGCCGAAGTCAGATGCTAAGGTGGAGTGTTCAGTCAATAACCATATAACACTTGGTTCAGTAAGGTGTATACTTTAAGGGAAAAAATATAAAATTAAGTGATCGTTGAAACAATTAGCTCAATTTTATGCATTAAGTTGTTACGGACATGCTTATTTATCGGTGTCATCGGTTCTCAGGGTACAATCACTAACCATACAATGCATAGACTTGTCAAATGTCAAAATAATCGGATACCGATAAATTGTCAACGACTGAGCCCCATGGGTGACCGCGACCATTTTAGTGTGCCCAGAAAAATAAGACTGCTGAGAGTGGCAGCCAAACGCCGGCCTCGAAAGCCGAGCGTTCAGTATGAAGCCGCATCTCGCTCAGCGCATATCGTCGCTGCGGCTGATGCCTTTTCATAATATATGTATGTAAGTTTTTAATTCCTTACATCCCAAAAACATACATGTGTGTATGCATGTGCAGAGTGCCTCGCTCTCAGCTCTACTATGCATTTGCGCACTTGTGTGTAGCTTATTGTCGTCCACTGCATGTGTGCATCTCCTTTTCCCTGCATAGCTTCTCAAAAACCCCGAGATCTACAAACATACAAATGTTTGTGTTGTGTGGATGTGCGCACAAGTAGATCGCAGCGTTTGTCGCGAGCCAGAGATTTTTTCTTCAATTGTGTGCCCTTTGTGCCTGTGGCAGACACATTCAAATGCTCTATCATGTATTTCTTCGTTTAGTCAGGCATAATGAGAAGAATCTGATATATTTATATTTATTAAAAACTTAAATGACCTAAATGATATATTTATATATTATATTTTAATTTTTTTGTTAACTGTGGGGACCAATTTTGCTTAAAATTAAAAAAAAACTAAGTCGTATTTCTGCAAGGGTAATTCTTCATCGGCTTTTCGAATAATTTAAGAAAAGACCAAACATTGCAAATGTTCAATTTTTTCGACTTGCTACTTGTGCACAAATGTGGAAGAAATGAACAAATGGATGCAGATGCATGCTGCACATTCTTATCGTTTATTGCCTGCCATAAAACCATTTAACCCAAAATGTTTACATGTCGAAAAATACATTAAAAGATCACTTGCATTTTTTCCATATCAAAGTGCAAACGAGCGGCAAGTGCGGTTCACCTGTTTTCGTTGCCTGTTCACACATGTGTGCCTTACGCGGCCGCAAGCCCACCGTCGCCTAAATTTACGCACCCATTGATAAAATATCTCTGTCTCACGACAAACCCTTGATCGGCTCATTCGCACACATTTTTGTGTGTGTGTGTGTGTCTGTGTGTAGAGCTCGAAATTTAGAAATGCCAAAAACTTCAAATTTGGTCAAATTTGCATCGGGCAGGCAGGCAACCAACACGCACACAAACGCATAAATGCTTCCATCCATATAGAAAAGTGTGTAAGTATGTGTGCTTGGCAGGCTCAAAAAGTTATTATGCACACATGCCAACGTTCAGGTACCCTTACCCTTACACCATGCATGGAAAATAGGAGATTTGCACATGAACAGGCCAAACCCTTTAATAATGTCACACAACTGCTTACTCGAAAGAGTGTGCGTGTGCACAAGTAGCAAGTCGAAAAAATTGAACATTCGCAATGTTTGGTCTTTTCTTAAATTATTCGAAAAGCCGATGAAGAATTACCCTTGCAGAAATACGACTTAGTTTTTTTTTAATTTTAAGCAAAATTGGTCCCCACAGTTAACAAAAAAATTAAAATATAATATATAAATATATCATTTAGGTCATTTAAGTTTTTAATAAATATAAATATATCAGATTCTTCTCATTATGCCTGACTAAACGAAGAAATACATGATAGAGCATTTGAATGTGTCTGCCACAGGCACAAAGGGCACACAATTGAAGAAAAAATCTCTGGCTCGCGACAAACGCTGCGATCTACTTGTGCGCACATCCACACAACACAAACATTTGTATGTTTGTAGATTCGGGGTTTTTGAGAAGCTATGCAGGGAAAAGGAGATGCACACAAGTGCGCAAATCAATAAGTGAGAGCGAGGCACACTCTGCACATGCATACACACATGTATGTTTTTGGGATGTAAGGAATTAAAAACTTACATACATATATTATGAAAAGGCATCAGCCGCAGCGACGATATGCGCTGAGCGAGATGCGGCTTCATACTGAACGCTCGGCTTTCGAGGCCGGCGTTCGGCTGCCACTCTCAGCAGTCTTACTTTGTCTGGGCACACTAAAATGGTCGCGGTCACCCATGGGGCTCAGTCGTTGACGATTTATCGGTATCCGATTATTTTGACATTTGACAAGTCTATGCATTGTATGGTTAGTGGTACAATCAAAATCAGCTCTGATACACTAAAAAACAGTAGCGAAAGAGCTTACAGAACCACACAGCAAAAAAAAACTTCAATCAAGATGAACAGCAAAAAAAGATTAAACGGAAAATAAATGTGGGTTGGGTAAATGCTGTATACCCAAATCCCACTGTGCACAACCAACAGCACAAGAATCCCTAGACAACGAACACGCTAAAAGACGAACGACGAATACACGACGCGTAACAACGAGCAAAGAAGACGGCGAATTCGCAGACGGCGAGTTATCCAAAAACGACGATCAACGAGGACAGTACAAAGCGACGAGGGCAACGTACTGGACGTCGAGCAGAAGATGTTTGCTCGTTAAGACGAAAAGTTCAACGCTGGACCTGTGTGGTATGAAGGCTGAGAACAAAACGACGAAACGACGTGTTACTTTGATTCGAATGATAATCATGCTAAGCAATACAATTTGTTAAATCAACAATACACTTGTTTATAATAAACTTTTAATATAAAACCCCACATAAATGACATCAAAGTTGAGTTTAATTTTCCAAAAAGGATCTCGTTTCCAGGCGTACCCGTATATTGTTCATTACTCATGTTTGTATTGAGTATTTAAGATTTTTTGCTTGGCAGTCAATAGTTTTGTTCCCTTAACGTTAAAGAATTCAATAAAATGATTTTTTTTTTAAATTAAATTGTTTGCGTTTATTTGATAAGATATATGTAGATGACATTATTAAAATGTATCGATTGTCCCATTACTAACAAAGTAAGGGGTTCTAGAACTAAGGGGTAACAGAACTAATAATGCTACATTGTCAGTATAAAATTAAGCCAACGAAAAAGGTCCTGGTGCTGAGTACGAAACATAATTCGGTCAAATGTACTTTGAAAAATATCTCTATTTGCAAAAAATGTGGTTATCGAAATGTAGCATTAAAAAATATTTTGACCGGTTGGTAGAAATAGGTATAGAACAAATCCAGGTAGTTCTAGTGACATGTATTATGTTGCCGCAGATCTCCGCATTAAATAATATAATTGATTAACAAAATGAAGTCCTGTGTTAGTTATGCTTAAGGCGGAGCGAGAGCGCTATAAAGCTTTGTCACTCGCTATGAGAGCAAATTCCCCTCGCTTCGACACCGAATCTTAATTTAGCCTTAAGAAGTTTATAGTCAGTTGTCGAAATATACTAAACCTATCAGCACGAATCGCCAATAATTCCCAAAAATTCGTTAACTTTTAAAACAACAATTTCCGTTTTCATGGCGCTCGGGTATAGTCTTTTTAAAGTTAAAGAAAAAAACTCATGTGCTTAACTGTGTAACTAGTTGTGGCTCACGAACTAATTAAATTGAAAATTAAAATAAAACCGCGTCGGCCGGGAATAATCCAAAAATCAATCCATTCTTCTACCATCATTGTACAATGCCAAGGAAAGTATCATCTAAAAGCACAGACTAAATTGGCTTGGTTGCGCTTATGAAGCCGTTTCTTTCAATTCTTGGCTCCTATGTAAAGTAGTTGAGTATAATTGTAACTTGAATGCACTAAGTAACCGCTTTGGAGATTATTATATATAATATATAATATTGGATCGATCTGTAGTGCTTCTGAGTTATCAAAATAAATTGTCATTACAATTTCATTTCACATAGTTATTGAAGTTTCCCCCAGTTGCTCGAGACCAAGTGCTTGTATATACGCGCAGTTTTGACGATTCAAAAAAGAAACACAATATGTCTATTAAAACCATAATGCGTTTAAGTGATTAGATAATTAGGAGTGAATTAAATCTAGAATGTAGATAAGAAATGGTGGCCCACACATAGATACAGCGGTAAAATATCAGACTCGGGCCTACCTCGAAAAACTCTGTGTAACGACATAAGCTCTTTTAAAGTCCGTTAAAAAGTCTTTAAGTACTGCAACCTCAGCAGGCATGCCTGTTGCGGCTGAACACGTCGTCGG